GGGCATCGGGAGGCCACTATGGCACGGGGCAAGCACTATGGGCAGTCTATCTGAAGTGTACCTGGCCTATAAGACGACCCCCCACTTGGAGGCATATTTTTCAGGGCCAAAAAGTCGTCTTATACGCCGGCAAATACGGTAAGTCTCCTTGAAAAATTCACTACAGTTGGCCCTCAGCCTTTGCTATAGATCAAATGTTGGTGTCCCCCACAAAATTTATAAGTTGAAATCCTAACCTACAATGTGATGGTATTAGGAAGTGGGGTAAGGCATGAGGGTAGAGCCTTCATGAATGAGATTGGTATCTTTATAAAAGATATTCCAAAGATTTCCCTCTGTCCTGCCACCATGTGAGGACACAGCAAAACCACACTTGTCTATGAACTAGGAAGCAGGTACTCACCAGACACCAAATCTGCTGGCGCCTCGATCTTGGACTTCCCAGGCTCCTGAACTGTGAAAAATAAATTTGTTCTTTATAAGTCACCCAGTCTACAGTATTGAAGCCCAAATGGACTAAGGCTACCTAACTGACCCACAAACCTAATTTGTTGGGAAGACTTACACTAGCCAAATTCATGGAGACTTATGAATTTTAAAAAATCAGTTACCTTAATCCACAGCAAGGAGCAGATCTAATACCGGTGGCGTGGGAAGGGGGAGGCACGGGGTGGGGGGGGGAGGGCTTTCTAACCAAGGAAAATGATTTGGTATTGAACTAATAACCTGATTTAAGCACAGTCTCCAAGTGGGTAACTGAGGTTAAACAGTGGATTCAACTTTAACATAGGAGAAAATAAGGTACAAACAATTTCATGGGAGCCTCAAAATGCCAGCAAGCTAACTTGAGCAAAGTTGTTGTGAATGGTTTTAAATCAGGTAGTGACCAATAAAAAGCCAAAGTAGCCTACTTTTCACTAGTCAACTCATAACGTGTATACGAATGCAAATTAATCCTCTCTAGTGAGGAAAGACTGAACGTCTCACTCCTCGCCTAAGTTAACTCAGTCCACATGGCATGAAATATTTAATTTCAAGAACTCTATCTAGTAAGACTATCAGAAGTTATTTATTTGACGTGAATTTCTATAAACTAATGGTGTAAAGGTTGGGGTTGAAAATGGAAAGGCTGTTGGTGGTTGTGGGGGAGAGAATCATGGACCACATTTATCATTTAAAGTACATTTTGGCGGGGAGGGGAAAGAGGCAGGGTTTATTGTTTCTTTTGCTTACGCTTTTTCTTAATAAACTTTTTATTTTAGAACGGATTTCGGTTAACAGAATTATAGTGAAAACAGTACAGAAAACCCCGTACAAGACAAGGTTTTTAACACCTCACTTCTACTTCCACCCCCACCTAAACTCTCCCTCACTTCTCTTTGCTTCTTCCTGCTCCCTTCAGATTTTGGCAGGGTCTAGCTCACGTACTGCAACTTAGGGACTGTAACCAAAACGCAGTTCAGTTAAAACTTCACCGCCCAGTCACAACTAGGTCAGAAGTGAAGCTCGCGAAACCCAAGGCGGAAACCCTAACGCTGTCGTCGCTCCGCCCGGCCCCGCTTTTCCAGAGACGCGCTGAAACGCTCGCCAACGTGGCTCCTCCAACTCGGGTCACGGGAGTCGAGCGCGAAGCGAGACCTGGGAGATGGGGAGCCTGCAGAAGGGAGGTGCCCGGGACCCGTGCCCGGGACCTGGAGGGACGAGCGGGGGGCGGGACTCTGGGACAGTTCCCGACATCAGGCTCCTCCTTTGAGGGCAGCATCTCGATCAAAATATCCAGATCTCTGAGACGTGTGGCGGATTACACATATGGACGCACACACGTGTCGGCGGTTTTGTGTAATGCAGACCTGTGCAGGCAGTCTCAGCCGCAGCCCACTACTCCCCACAGCCAACTCCCCCACGCGGTGTCGCGGCCGCCGGGCACCCACGTCGCAGCCCGTCCCTCAGCGCGTCGCGCAGGGACGGACACGCGCCCGTGAGGACGTCCGGGGAGCGCGCGCGCCGCCGCCTCCACCACCGCCACCGCCTCCGAGCTGGGCCGGAACTGCAGGTAGTGTGGTTTGAAGGTGATGGCCCTGACTGAGGGCCGAGAGGCCGCGTTTCCCGCTCCTCCTGCAGTCACTGCCGACGGCTCCGTCCGTTCATCGTCATGAGAGGTCAGGCCTGGGNCCAGGAAGAGTGCAATGATGGTGCCAACTTGGGCCAGTGAAGCAACATCCTCCACAACTAGACTGAAGAACAAAAGGACAACAACTTGTCTGTTCCCCATCCCCCAATTCCCCAATAAAAATCTTAAAAAAAAAAAAATATACAAATTCATTGTTACAAACCAGTCACGGAAATGTAGGTTATACCATAAGGAATATAGTCATTAATATTATAATAACTATGTATGGTGTTAGATGGGTACTAGATTTATTGGGGTGCTAGATGAGAGGGGGATCGGAGGGCAGGGTGAAAAAGGTGAAAGAAGTACAAATTGATAGTTACAAAGTAGGCATGTGGTTATAAAGTACAGCATGGGGAATGCAAGTCAATAATGTGGTATAAATATTATAGTGCCAGGTGGGGCACTACTAGACTAGTCAGGGGATCACTTTTTAAATTATATAAATGTCTAACCATTGTGCTATACACCTAAATTAATATAAAATTATATTGAATGTCAAATGTAATTGAAAAAAGGGGGGGGAAAGGTGAAGGGGAATACGGGGTTCAAATTTCCAGATACAAAACAAGTAAGTCAAGGCGATGCAATGTACAGCATAAGGAATATAGTAAGTAACATTGTGATAGTGTGGTATGGTGTCAGATGGTTGCTGGACTTATCATGGTCATCACTTCTTTAGTTATATAAATATTGAATAACTATTGTGTATACCTGAAACTAATATAAAATTGTATATAGTTATATTTTAATAAAAATCTTTTAAAAATAATATGCACACACACTCATGTGCGTATACATACATCATATATATATATATATATATATATATATATATATATATATATTCCCTATTGTCTTTGGTAATACCACCAATTTATTTGTTGCAATATTTATTATAGCTTTCCAATACTGATTTATCCATCCCAAGCTACAAAATGGAGATTCATCTTAGACTTCCTCTTACCTACTCCACATCTACTTGGTCACTTAGGGTATCAGTTAACTTTTGTTATGAAGCAAACTGCTCCAAATCTGGAGGCTTAAAAACAAAATATTATTTCCTGTGATTCTGTGGGTTGATTGGCTGATTCTTTTGGTCTGAAACACCTCAGTTGAAACTGAATGGTCTAGGATGGCCTCATGCATATGTTTGGAGCTTCAACTGAAAGGCTGAGATGGTTGGGGCGTCTTTCCAAGTAGTTCCTCATCTTCTGGAAGGCCAGCCCTGATTTGATTACATGGTGGCAGAAGAGTTGCCAGCAATAAGAGGGCAAGTCCCAGTGTGGAAACATTTTTCAAGCTTCTGCTAAATTACAATTACTTTTATCCCAATGGCCAAAACAAGTCATATGAGAGTCACATGACTCACGTGAGAGTCACATGAAGGGGACTACAGGAAGGGGACTACCCAAGTGTATGGATATAGGTAGGCAGGAAAAACTGGCTCGAGAAGGGGGGCATAACTGCAACAATCTACCACACTTAATCCTATTGATTTTATCTCTTTATAATCTCTCCAATCCCATTCTTTTTCTTGAATCCCACTTCACTGAGGTGTTCAAGACTTTCTCATCTCTTACTCAAACTACTTGGAATAGTCTCCTAACTGAGCTTGCATAGCTGTAAGCTATTAGCATGTGCATCTTCTGGAAAACACAAACCTGGTCATATAACTCTGCTGCTTAAAACTCAATAGCTTCCCTTTGGCTATCATAATAAACTATAGAATAAATTCCTAAATAAGACCCAAAAAATCTTTCATATTCTAGCCCCTACTTTCTCTTATTATTCCTTCTATTCATTCAGAAACGTAAAACTAAGTCCTTCAAAGGGCCATGGTATTTCAATACCACGACTTTACAAATAATGTTGTTTTTATCTGGAATGTCCTATTACTGCCTTTATTCTTGGCAAATTTCATCTTATTGTTCAAGATTCATCTCAAATGCCACAAATTTAATGAAGCATTTCTTGCCTGAAAAAGTTAAATGCTCTCACTTCTTGCTTCAACTGCATCTCACACAACTTTCAATTATAGTGTTTACTTCGATATAATTATTTGTTTGGAGACCTGTCTAACCACTATTTCACTATGGAATAGGTAGTGTGTCTTTTTTAATGTCTATCTCTCTGACATCTAGTACAATTCTTGACATTTAGGAACTACTCAGCAAATGCTTTTTTAAATTAATCAACTGAAATGTCCATTTCCAACATTCTAGATGCCAGTGGAAAGAAAATTTATCAGGTAAGTCTCACTATCAAATCTTGTCATCAACTGAATGCTCTTTACTTCTAATGTTACTTTCAGTCAAGTTATTTGAATGGAATGCAATTCTAACTGTACTAACAAACTTTCAATATGTACTAATATACCTTCAATGTGTTCTGAATATAGTAAAGTGATGAGAATTTAAACATTACATTAAGGTGTATAAATGTACTAAATTTACAAACGTACCAAATATGCTAAAATTATCAATGTACTAAAACATACTGATGCTCTATTGCAGCTGTAGCTGGATTATATGAGATTGAGTCTCTTTTTTTGTTTCCTAAATTCTCACACATTTTAAAGTTTAAAGTAAAAACATCCATGTTGTAGTCAGAATGGTAGATTATATACAAATACCGTATTTGCCGGCGTATAAGACGACTGGGCGTATAAGACGACCCCCTAACATTTCCACTCAAAATACAGAGTTTGTTATATGGTCGGCTGTGTG